ACTCTATAACAGAAAACAAAGACTGGGGATACAATGTTTATTTTCAGCCTAATGCTGCTAAGTTTTCTAAGACATCTGAAATAAATTCCTTCCCTGCACTCTTTATTATCTGCTAATAGTAGAATCCCAGTGCCTACCATATACCAAAAACAGTAGCACAGGAACAGCAGTTCAAAGCTACATTCTTCTATATTTTTGTAGGCGTACCTTGGAGAAGAATTCTCTCTCTTGAGAGTATTTAAGTGGAAGAGGGAGGGTGCTAAACACACAGCAAGGTTTGTTGGCGTCATCTGGTTTTCTTTCACTGCAGCTGTGACATCACTCAGGAAATAAAGCAGAATCTGTAGGACCTCCCTGTTCTCATCGGGTAGAAGCATAATGGCAGCCTTAATAGCCTGGAGACGCTGATCCTTCGGCACATCTGCATAATATTAGCAATTCTCTCATCAGCTCATTGATTTTCCACACACGCAGCATGAATACTTCCCAAAGTAAACTCTGGCTTCACATTTTTTACTCTAGTTTGAAGTGATTTCCTTTAGGATACATACCATTCATAGGTAACATGAAGGATTTTTTCCCCCCCTTTTTATTGCCACCAGCTTAACTACCCTCAGTTATTTCCTGCCTGGAGAAAAACTTGAGTGAAAAAAAGAGTTGTGCTTACTCCAGAGTTAATTTTAGAATTTAATTCGAAGAACTACCCATTCCTGCTAGAAGGACTGTTAACTGCAGAAGTCTGACTTGGATGGACATAGGTGGTGAATTAGCAAACAGAAAGTCTAGCCAACTTAAGACTCCAGCAAAAGAAAAAAAAATTCTTAAGACTGAAAAAGTTTGTAAGGGCAATGCAATTAACAAAGCTATAAAAATTAAATAAATAAATTGGTAGTAAATTATGCAGAAAAATGCTTCACCAAACACATAGGTCTGCCTTATTGAACAGCTCTTTCTAAGGCATACAGTGGAAAAAGAGAGTCACAGTGGTACGGCCCCGTGCCATTAAACAGCTCCATGGTTACTGACAACAAACACCTCCATTGGGAAATTATGACTTGTCCTTTTGAAAAAAAAAAACAAAAACAAAAAACTGAAAGGGACAAATACTGAAATAACCCAGACCAGCCTCTATTTCACATAAAGCAAATGCCAATGAGCCACCTTTAAAGACAACTTGAGGATCTGAATCATCGTCAGGCACTAACACTGTCATTAGCACCACAAAAACATGCTGAAGGAAGACTTGGCTGAATATCTAGTATATAATTCTCACACTGCTTTCAGTTGTGATTGCTTTGGGCTTAGGTCCCAGTTGTAAGGATATAAGGGACATTTTTACAAAAGTGTTGTAAAATACCTTTCTTCATACACACGTATCATCTTTTATCTTCAGTAAGCTCAAGAGGTTTACTAACCCAAGCAAAGCCAGAGCCAGTGCATAGTATGGTACATAAGAACAAAGGGAAGGTGAATTCTGGCTGTAAACACTGAAGCAAAATTTACAGTCACTTCTGACAACTCTTTGCTGTCTATGGGGAGTAGCTTAAACTTCTAGCCCAAGCCATCCTTTGTGTCCTGCCCCTGTGGATAGAGGGGGAAAAGCACTAGTTTTTTGCAGCACTGATTTAAACCTTTGGCATTAAGCATCTTGAAGCATCTCTGCAGCACAGGTATTCAGTGTGCAAGGAGGTGGTAAAAGCCTGAGGCAAGGAAGACATGCCATTCCCTTCTCACACCTGCACTCTGCTAGAAACCCGCATGTGAACACACACATACACAAGCTGGCTGAATCATCGTTAAGTTTTTTCTAGACATGCATTCAGTGTGGTGGAATTCCCCCAGGAAGGCTTTTGGAAAGGTGCTAGGTGATGTAAGACACTCAGCTATCACCACAGGAATTCAGATGGACAGAATGAACAGTACTTCACTGCACAGCACAGTTGAAGTTGTACTGCCTTGGAGCCTGTGAGCACAAGGAAGCATGGTTTGTGTGTACTGGTTTTGCCACCAGAGGACATCAAGGGATTCTAAAGCTATTTATCTACTCTTACTTACTGCATAAACTGGGATTTTCCTACAATTTGTAATCTGGCAACATGTGGGGGGTGGGGGGGGGTGTAGGCATGTCTACATGTGCAATTAATATGCATGAATAAACTCCATGCTTATTACTCTGGAGTTTATTTGTGAGCAGCACACTAAGCCTGGTCAGAGCAGCCCAACTGGGCACAGTATGCTGTGGAAGGGCTGGCTGGGGCATAAGGGTGTTTCAGTGTGGGGTGAGCCAGCAGGCAGTCCCTGCACTGAAGCACCCTTGTGCCCCAAACCAGCCAGGCAGCATCTACACACATGCTGCTGTGCACAAAACAACTTGTATTTACAAGTACTAGCCTGCTCTGGAGTTTATTAGTTTCATGCACCCTAATAGGGGCACATGTGTAACTAATTAGGCAGCTCAGCAGTAAATGTTTCATAGAGATGAGCCTTGTAAGGGGAATTTGCAGTAATAAATTTAAGCCTCTGTTTTGTAGCCAGTCAAAAGGGACCAAACAATGTACAGCAATCTGTACAGACTTCAATTTAGTCAGCAAAAATGAAGGGAAATCTCCCTCTTGGGATGTGAATCTGTAGTTCTATAGAGATTTGTCATTTCTTTCTAGAAGCTCTGACAATTGAGCCATCAAAACATTTAATTTTGCCAATCATCCCTTCTTTCCTTCCAACCAATTATGCAGAGGGGTGAGAGTTACTGAAGTGGGAATGATAAAACATTTCAGAAGTGGTTGTTGACCATTAACTAAAACATGATTAAAGTGTGTTGCAAATTTGGCCAGATATGTTCTAAAGAATTTCAGTAATTTTGGAATGAACTTCAATTTTTACTGAAGCCAAAGACTCTGCTAACCAGGTATTTGCAAGAGGCGGATGACAGATAGTGGATGTTTCAAAAAAAGGAGAGAAAAAACAGGATAGTAATAGTGCCATTCATCTCCAAAATCATCACACAGCTTGCTTGTCTGTGGAAGAATATTTGGCAGTTCAGCCTTAGCTTTACATATTAGACATTTATAAGAATGATCAGGAAGACACATATTTCTTTGAAATCCGTGTCTGATTTTCTACTTAACATGAGAAATCAAGACTTACACTGGTAAATCTGCAAGAAGGTCTCTGAGAGTTTGTTGGTCATGAGTGGTTCTGGAAGATCACGGAAGTACTGCTTTAACATGTCCGCCACATCATAAGCAGATTGTCCTTCATAGTTAATGCTGTCTATTGAATTCTCATTCATTTGGCGCAAAGCTTGGATTCTTGACTTGACTCCAGATTTCCTGAACAGCCCAACCTACATGTGTTTACATATTAAAAACAAAAATCCCAAAGCACACATATTAAATCTAGCAGGGATGTCTTTAACTATACTGCAGATCCCTCAGTCTTTGCTTGCTCCAAACCCTGCAGTTCTTACTCATGAAAAATTCTCATCGACTTCAGTAAGAATACTGCTGGAACACGTAAAAGTAAGACACAAGTAAGGGCTTCTGATTTAACTTGAGAGTGACAATTAATTAATAACAAAGTTTTAACGGGTGAGATTACAGTGCAAAGGCAGTGAAATGAAACTGACCTGATCCAGGCAATGGTTGCGGAGGTACCGCATGGCTTGTTGAATGCTCTGCGGAAGAGGCTGTCCCATACGCTGGACATTAATTTGCAGTGGAACTCCAAACACATTCCGATCTTTGTAATCTGGTACTTTTATCCTTTTCATAAACTTTGGTACAGCCCTGGTTAAAACAGCAGGAATGAAAGACAGAAATCTTAGGCATTAGGACAGTATCCTTGGCTCACACATACATGCTCCCTCCTGCATTCTGGATTCCAGCAGCTGTAAGATGCACTATAAATATATGTGAAACAGAAACACTTAATAGAATTAACATTAGGAAAGGCTGTGAAATAATAAATTCTCTAATCTATTCCAAAAGGTGGGAAATAAAGCTCCTCTACAAGGAAAAAGCTTAGTATCCAGAAGGGTCTACAGATTGATTACAAGTGCTAACATGTACTACTAGTCTAGCAACATGAGTATGACGTAAATAAGGGGGCAAAACTGCAGGGGCCAGGTTGGCCTAAGAGCCAAAATAAATCCTGTGGTCAACAACCTCTTACGGCATAGCTTCTTTAGGTCTCAATAAAGATGGGCATGTAAACAATGAACTTTTTGTATGTCAACCACTTGTTCTATAGAGCCCTCAGACCAGGCCCACCACCCACCAGTATGTGCCACAGCAGGAAACTGATGTAATGCATTAGAGTCTGTCAGCTAGAAACTTCAGTTCTTTTAAATGACCTCTTTGAGGGACCCCCCTGCTTTTGAGCCCCCAACCCCCCTCACAAACATGCCAGCGCACACATAGTTTTAGTAAGCAGCCATCCTGCTTGCTTTTTACTCAGAGGAAAAAACTACTAAAACTGAAAAAGAATTATTTACACTCAGATTTTTAGTATTGTTTTCTTCTCACAGAAGGGAAAAAACCCTTTGGAATCTGAAACTGCTGAGATCATTTAGTTAATGAAAGAGAAAGTTAACACAGGATACAAAGCCTAGCAGAATATAGCAGTCTTAGAAATTGGGAAGACCCTTTTAAATAGTCCAATGTACAGTGCAAATAAACAGACAATGTATTGTGTTTATGCCTAATCTAGCCCACAGAAAATAAAGAGAATCAATTTGTATTTCCATGTAGTTAAGCATTATTGATATACATGTGAATAATACTTGCTTTGTTGTAAAACACGGCAATGGAATGTGAAAAAACACATTACGATGCCCATCGAGAATCTGAAGCATGCACGGATAACCGGTCAATACTTATTTCTGTCCTTCAGAACAAACAAGTTCTGTATTTAGAATGGCTCACATAATAACAGCCTTTGAATAGGAGGCACTTTGATGCTGGAGTGAAATACTTACTACAAGTCCTGGGGAAGGGAGGAGGCAGATGAGTGGCAGGGAAGAGAACGAAGGGGAGAAAAAATTTATTGCACCTTTTGGTTTCTTAGGTTGCACTGACAGATAAGAAAACATAGAGGGTTTCTGTTTCATGCCATCTGACAAAAGACACTACATGTGTAGCAAATGCTCAATACTATTGGCTACAAGAATCTTACTAGTGTTTCCAATTTAGAAGATCTTTTTTATCCTTTGTTTTAAAAAACACTAAATTGCATTGATTTTATGTTTACAAATTATTTAAAAGAAAGAAAAACACTTACTATTATACAGAAACTTATTTTACAGTAAATACGAAGTACAATTATGTCATGAAATATTAAGAATAATTTAAAGAAGGAGAAATCTTTTCTACTATTTTTTCAGATGTAGAGAGGTACATCCTACTAAAGACAAATTGTTTTAATGCATCTCTAGTCTTTTTCATTGGGAATCCCAGCTAGACTTCTCCCATCATAGACAAACAGTCCATGATTTACTATCATGTGCCTTGAAATACATTTTGTGTGGCTCTGTGCCTCCCAAGTAATATGCATACGAAGCCAACCAAATTAAAATGATACAAAGAACTGATGATTTTCATATCCTGAGATGCTAAAGACATTGCAATGACATGGCTGGATGAGGTCGTAATTAGGTGTAGCTGCAAGTGATGAGGAACGGGGAAGTTAGTTAAAGGTTTCCTGAATTCTCTCATTGAGTGGCCAATCCCTGAGGGGTTGAACAGTTAGGTGCCTGCCAATTAGGGTATTAATTGCTTACCAGCTGAAGCCATGCTTATTGGAAGGCGTGTACCTCTCCAGGAGGGCAGTTAACTTCAAGAGTGAGTATTTCTGCAGCAGGTTCATCTGTGCCACAGACTGGCAGTTAATCTGTAAGGATGCTGAGCTCAAACTGGGTCGGTGGGAGCTCTGAAAGCTGTGCCATCTCAGTCTGTGCCTGCCGGGAAGGAAAGGAACATAAAGAACAATTTATTGTTTGGAAGTTACAGGTGGAAAACACAGCAAAAGCGTGATCTCTAATGGTCTAGAGGTTTGCAGTTGTGTTTCAGAACACTGTTCTGATAAACAGCATGGTAACATCCATTCTGTTCTGAGATTTCCCTAACATACAGCATTAGGACACAGGTGGGCAAAATACAGCCTGCAGGCAGATACAACAGCAGATTCAACCCAGTCCACGGGTGGACAGCTTCCAACTCACTGGATCTGACCTGTGGGCAAGAGGTGACTCCAGCTGCCACGTGGTGCTGGGAGGGTGGGCTTCTGCCCAGCAGCATCAGGCATCAGCTCTGGACCCAAGTAGGGCTTCTACCACAGCAGGTAGGCAGTGGCATCAGCTGTGGACTCTGTTGGCAGGTTCAGAAGCTTGGATGCAAAACCTGTCCCTACCAGCATCCACAGATGAACCACTGCCCACCCTGCCAATCGTGTCAGCTCTGGACCAGATAGAAGCTGCTACTGCACCGGGACAGTGGCAGCGTCTCTCTCTTATCTCTTCTCTTGTCTTCTCTCTCCCTCCCCCTTCCCTCCAGAACATGGACAAAGCTGCAGTTCACCAGGAGCCCTGAGGGTCAGCTGTAGACCCAAGCAAGAGCTGCTGCTATGCTGGGTGGGCGTTCAGTGTCAGCTGTGACATTGGGGCAAGTTCTGACTCTGCAGCCTGTCTGCCACAGCAGGAGCTCCTGCCAGGGTGCACAGCTGAGCATCAGGTCTCCTGGCAAACTGCAGCTTCAGCCAGATTCTAGAGAGAGGGAATGGAGAAAGAGAAAGAAAGAGAACAAGAGGAGAGAGAGAGCAACAGAGATGGATGTGACCCTCAGCAGGTCCCCCAAACTCATTAAGTGGCCCTCCAGTCAAAATAATTGCCCACCCCAGGTTAGGAGCTTCTAATCCAGTGTACCTAATATAAAATACCCAGAGAGCACATGGGAGTGCAAGCCTGGTGTAAATCAGCATCATGGAACTAACTACCACAATTTGCACTGTCGGAAATTCTCAAAGGGTTTTAAATGAATTCAAGTACAGCCCTTCTTGGGGTATTACTGAGGCTGACTAAAGGCTGGATTCTTGAAAGGTATGTAGGTGCCCAAAGCCCTGTATTTTAATTGGAGTTGGGCACTTTTGAAAATCCCACTGTATCTTTAAAGTGCCTAAATATATCTTTACTAATCTAGACCTAACTGACTTGCACCAGCGTAAACAGAACACCAGTGACAAAGCTGGGAACAGAATCCAGGCTGCTTGCAGATGTTTTAAAAAAAGTGCTTTAATGGAAGCAGCAGCTTTTGACCCAGCTCTGTGGTATCTGTAAAGATTGGGAACTTCAGTGAGGCTTTTTGGTGCTTTTAGCTAAAGCTGATTCAATCAGCTATGATCTGGCTTCAACCCCATGAAGCCAGATCCTGGCTGACTGCTATCTGTAGCACAGACGCAGCACGGCCATACCACCTGAGCACTCAAAGCCAACTGAGACAACTCTGGCAGCCCTAAGAAAACCCCATGGCACTGTAGTGAGTGAGTTTAGTAACATACTTTCTTCTTTGTTCATATGGAATTAATGCCTCAGCATATTATTAAGGGGACTGGGCTGCTAGAAGCGACATGTTTTAAAATCAAGGATTATAAATCAAGTTATAAAAATCAAGGATTTGACTTTTTACTGTCACAGAACAGAGCACAGGCAATTTGGAAGAGCAGGTGCCCAAACATCTGCATCCTGGATAATGCATAGATTGGATCATGACATTCTGTGCTCCTCCCCTACACTGTTTTCAGTTCAAAAAGTGATTCTGAAAAACCGCTTTAATGCGTCTGGGGAAAATAACTCTGCAGTGCACAGAAGGTTCCATTTCAGTGGTGGCTGGCACACTACACAAATAAGTTCATTATTTTACAGTGGCTTAGGAACAACTCTAGTTTAAAAGTCAAAAAATAGAGTTACTCCCAGCCATAATTTTTCCAAATGATTTGTAAAAGTCACTTATTTTTCCTTCTCCCAGCTTCTGCCAGGCTAAGGCTTTAACTGGTACTAGTGAGAGAACCCAAAGAACTGACCTGTTGGACCGTGTTAGTGATGCTCCTACGCCAGAGTCCCTTCTGTCCTGCAGTCCTGAGGGCTCCTCCATTTCATTTAATGAATTTCCTGTACTGTCAAGGTCACTAGGTGTTGTTCGATCATTATTCACATCAAGATGAATCTGCTTTGGAGAGGAAGGACATGGAGAAATTGAATCTAGTGCTGAATCAGAGTCCCCTTCATCCGAGAACTTTTCTGACCATTGGTTTACTATTCTCTGCATCCCTTTCACGTGATAAAGGATGTCATCCAGTTCTGGGAAGAGGTCTTCATTTTCAAGGTCAGCCAGATCACCTGCACTGGAGTACAGTATTGAGCCTGGTACATTGTCATAAATGCTAATGCGACTGCCCACAGAGCTGGAAGAGTTGCGCCTTTTCCCAATGCCCAGTTCCTTGGAGCTGTCCCCACTGTTTTCTCTCCTAAGGGTAAGGTGGCCATGTCCATGAAAACTCCCAGTTCTCCAGTTCACAGAAGCGCTACCATCTGATGGGGAGAAATTACCATTGGAGAGGGCTTTGGGAAAGGTGCCAGGCTTATGGTCTTCAGGAATAAAAAAAACAGTGTCTTCTGCAAAGCTTCCCCTGTTCTTAAAGTTCTGTTCCATAACATCACTGAATGTCGACTGGTTGAATGGGTCGAAACCTTCCAGGTACATGCCCACCCTCTTATTATACGCACTGAGGCTGCGTGTTCTTGTGACAGGACTCGGCGTGCTGACAGCGCTGCTCGTCTCGGACTGACTGCTGCTACTGCTGGTCTGAGTGGAATTGGAGACGCTCCTTTTTCGTACCATTGGTATGTTGATGTGATTGCCATTGAGAGCAGAAATCTCCACACAGTTAAGCTGTTTCAGCTTCTCTTCATCCATGCCCTCTTGCAGGATGGGCCCGCTGATAATAAGACCAAGCTTTGAAGGGGCTTTTTTCCCATGGTGAGAGCTCTTGATTTTCAGACTCTCCATCCTCTTTAACAGGCTCTTTGTTTTGGACTTGGCATTCTTTTCATTGGCTTTCGTGCTGAAGCTGAAGCTAGACAGCTCCTTAGGCGACGGCAGGCTGCTGAAGGAGTCATCATTTGCTATGAAATTGCTTGATGAACAAACGCTGGCAACAGAGTTTGTTCTAGTAGTAGCTGTCTCACTCTGCGGGGGTGGCTGGTGGCTGCTGGTGCTGCTGACGCTGTGAATAGAAGCCACCTCTTGGCGCTCGCTGAGGTCTGTCAGGACGCTTTCGTGGCTAGCCGCATTGGTCAGGGAATGAGCTTCTGGGGAGGGGGTATTCAAATCCTGTTTTGGAGGGAAAACGTCAAACTCCTCCAGCCTGGACCACCTCTTGCTGTCCCTTTGAAAAGTCCATTTCCCACTTATTGCACAAGGCTCATCTTCATCGGAATCTTCACTCTGGAAGAAGAGAAAGGGTCTATCAGGTATAACCGACCGCAACCCAGGAGAGTTAATGGTTAAATGACTTTAGGAGGCTTTATATTTAAATAATTATCTGATCTTTTGGTGAAGCTGATCTCAAGAGTCATTGACTTCAAAGGGAGCAAGACTGAACCTTAAAGCCAAATCACAGTTAAAGATAACATGTAATATATATTTTTAAAGTTAAAAACAAAAAAAGAAAATACATGTTTCGGTTCATTAAAAAGGAAGCTGTCTAACCGACATAATGAAGACAGAGCAAATGATATAATCTGCCTTAAGTTGCTCTTTTCTACAAACACCAGTATCCATAGGTTTTAATTAATTGGTCACAGTGGATACCCTTGAGATCAGTGGAAATTCCTGGCATGCATAAAATTTTAAACTGGAGTCAGCGAGGGGCAGGGCTTCCTCTGGATTCTCTCCAGTGTTCCTCTCTGTTGACAGTGGCTCTGTGTTTATATTCCCGTTTGCAATTAAAGAGATGCTTTCAAACATTTTGAGTTGTAGTAGCTTAATTCCTTACCCACCCTTGAAGTTTAAGCGTTTTTTCTAACTGTGACTAATCAGATAGCAAGAAAAACTATTGCACGGCCACAGTTTACTGGCCCCAGGCTCTTACCTGGTCCTTTCCTCCCCCTATAACTCAGCAACTTACTTTTTAAAGAATGTCCTGTGAAGTTTCTACTTCAGACTAGCTCCAGGCAATTTTAACATTACTTCATAGATGCTGAGCAGCAAAAGCCAACTGACAGTGTATAAAATGAGTAAACTGCAAGTAACGTCTCCACTGATTATACCTGGTGTCTGGGGGGTGCCTGGGAGCACGTTTCAACATATGTCACTTATGCCTCAACCTTTTAAAATCTGATACTTGCAGGTACTTGATCTTCCAGGACCAACACACGTCCCTTCCATTTACATGGAAAACAGTGTGTGACATAGACTGGAAGGACAGAACTCAAAGGAACTATTTTAAAAATGCGCCATGCAAATGCAGAATCCACCTTTTTTCATACTTAGGAAATTGCAACAGACAAGTTTAGTCTGCCAAGCCTGCAGCATAATCCAGTGCGTGCCATAAACCATTTTAAATTAAATGGAACTAACTTAAAAACAAACAAAGAAAGAAATAAGCACCCTCCTAAAAAAAACCAAAATCAGCAATTTGTAGAACAGGAGTACAATAATAATTAACTCATTGGCAGATGATAAATTTATTATTTTAAGTGTTCCATTCCTGTATACTCAAATCAATATTTCTAGTTCCAGCTTCTTTGATAGTCTTATTAAGAGACCTTACAACGTAAGGACAAAAGTAAAACAAAGTACTTATATGCATAATCAAAGACACAATGACATTATGTATATGTATAATCAAAGACATCTGAAGCAGACAGTGCAGTGTGTCATTTTCTCTACTGTCCTGATACTGCAACCTAATGATTCTGTTCACAAGCAAGGAAAAACACAGAGGTTTGCCTATTAATTAAAGTGTGTACTAGCAAATCATATATAGCTGACAGTGAGAGCAGCCACACCGGTGCTACATGATCCAGTGGCAAGGTAGAAGCAGAGAAAACAATGTTCAGATGCAGCCACTTCCACACTTCTTTTTTAAGCAACATGTAATTTTCCTGCTGAAAACAAGGTTCCAGAGTCATTTTTTATCTCAGTAAAGTCAAAAACCAGAATTTAGTCACAATAATTCCACATATTGGAACACTTGACTGAAAACCAGAAATGTGTCCAAACCAAAACCTGTGATCCAAACTCTGAAGAATTTTGGCTTCTGATCCAAAGTTGGAGGTGGGCCCATCTGTAATAAAAATATTGCTCATTCTGCCGTTAAGAAACCAGAGAGACCTGATCTTGAGAAATAGGAATCTTTGGGAAGTTGTAAAACTACAATCCTATGATCTATGCCTCCGCTCCACCTTTTATTTATTTATTTATTTTTTAAAAAAAGAGACGCACACACTTTGTATATATGATATCTCAGAAGGATCCTGGTTGCTACGCAGCAGTAACTGATAGAGGGGGGAAAAACGTAGAGCTAGTGAATGACCTTAGGGCTTTTGTATGCATTTTTGTTAAGCATTGTATTCCATACCTTTAGTCATCTTTATCTGCAATTGCCCTTTCAGGGGGACATCATTGACTACTGTTGACTTTTCGGACTTGGATCTATTGCTGTGCCTTCTCAGCATGCCGACATGCTTTTAGACTGCTAGCCAGCTTTTCAAGGGGGACTGCAGAGAAATGACTAAAACTTTTGACAGGAAGTTTGTCATACTACCTTTGCCAGGAACCTTGTTAGGTTTACAACATTTTTACAGTCTTACCACCTTTATTTTTACTTCGCAATTGAAAACCAAGCAAGCACGACTGAGCTTTTCCTAAATCCTATCTTACTGAGTGCATTGCTAACTTTACAATGAAGAAATTGTTGGTGAACCACAAAGAAATTCTACAAGCTGCACTGTAACAATGATAGGGAAATTAAGCTATTTTAAGGGCTAGTTGAGGCTTTGCATTACTTCTGATTAGTATTTTAAACAATTAAAAACAAAGAAAGAGTAGGCCCAATCTTGCAAACTGCTGGGCCTCCTTTTTGAAAGACCAAGAAACTCCCACTGAGTTGTTTACATTAGAAAACTGTGCAGTAACCCAGTGTGGCTGAAAAGACTCAAGTTAGCCCAGATGACACTGAGCATGCTTTCAGTACAAACTGGTCAGGATCATGTCAGCTACCTTTATTCATCATAATCATGTTTGAAAACAAGAGAGTGCATCATGTCAGCAAACCCAGTATCATGACAATAGCAGTTGAGAGTGCTTGGCATCTTTCATAACTGAGCCCAGAGTGTGTAAAATTTTAGCTGCACAAATAATTTTTTTTTTTTTTTTTAAACATACAGGGTCAGACTCTGCTATCCTTACTCTATGAAAAAGAAGGCAAGTTTAAGGCATCCTTTGCTGCTATGAAAATGCCAGGTCTTGTCCAGGGAGCTTACATTCAGGTAGATTATGTGAACAACAAGCCAATCTTTATTACTGGCTTATAATATAGGGTGTTAAACAATACTTACCCTTTTTCTGTGTGGACTGATTTCTAGCTTCATCACTGCACATTTGTTTAACGTATTTAAGCGCCTGTGAAAGGAAGAAACACAACATTAAGTATGGGCGTGTGACTTGTGACATTGGCTATGTCAATTAAAAGGCTTTTGTGAAGGCTATCTCCAAACTCTTTTGCATACAGATAGCCACAAGGGGAGCCTCAATTAGCACTTATTGTGCTTAATTATTAAACCACTGCTTGAGCTGACTTTTGTTTTGTGAAAGGTGGGGGTAGAAGAACATGTACCAACCTTCCCCAAATCTGAGGCAAGCATGAACACTCAGAAGACCTTAAGAAAACCACTGCTGGAAGTGACTTTAAATTAAGAATTGCTAAAAGTTATTATTTAACATCAAACATATTACCCTGACATACTGAGAGTCAGGTACAAAGAAAGTGCTTTTCCTTTGAATCTGTGTGTGAGAGATGCAGCCTGCTGTTGCTTTAATTTTTTACCCTATGAGCCAAAACCTCAAAGAGGAAAACTAATTTTCCACACATCAGGTGCCTATTTTGTTCTTGTGCTGTGTAATAGAATTATTTTCACTACAGCCCCAGGACAACTCCACTAATCTGTTCAAAAAAGGAAAGGGAAAAAAAGGCTCAGACTGTGTTCCTCCTCTCATAGCTGTACAGTTTCTTTCATATCTAAGAATGTTGCTCTAAGAAAATAAAATAAAATACCCCCCCTCCGCCCCCACAATTGCTGGGTAACAGTACAGCAGCTATAATTAACCAGGCTCCCAGTGAATGCACTTTTAACTGTTATATTGCATACTTCAAGGTATTATGTGTGCCTGTCTATGCAATGCTCTCACAGACGACTGATCCACTGCCTACATGCAATTCAACGGATACTGCATGAGCCTGCAGTACTTGCCAAGCCACCTGGCCATACTTAGTTGGCAAATAGGGCCAATGATTCACTGGGGCAAAATCATTCACTTTCAACTCCTAGGCTAGGGACATTCAAAGAGCCTGAGCCTGAATTGATACAATCTTTGCAGGTTAGTCTACCCTGCAGAGTGTGAATCAGTTTCCAAGTGGATAGATGTTCCCTTTCTATTCAGGAAATGCAGGTACATGCCTGCAGTGGCTCAAGCCAGCAGCCTGGAGGTGCTAAAGCAGCTCTCCCTTCTGCAGGGAAGCTGAGCTGAGGAGGGGGTCGTGGCCAGGCCCCAGCGCTCCCTCACAGTCTGGAGCAATCCTGGCACACAGGGCTGCCAGGCCCCAGAGGGGGACCCTCCCCCTCCTCCCTCTCCCTCACCACTGCAGGGTCAGGAGTGGGGCCCTGTTCGGTGCTGGGGGAGCCCTTCTCTCTCCTCCTCCCCCTGCCACCATGGGGTGGGGAGCTGGGCGTTGTGAGACGGCCTGGCCCCAGAGGGGGACTCTTCCCCCTGATTCTCCCCCATCACTGTGGGGTGGGGAGGGAGGAGGGAGGGCACTGTGGGATGCTGCCAGTGGTAACGTGTAAGGGGTACACGTGCACCCCCTGACAGCAGCATTCCCCGCTTGGGTGACAGGCAGGGAGGGCAGGCAAGAGCACTGATGCCCCCCTGAAAGTGCCAGCTGGGGAGTGGGGGCGCCAAGAGAAGCTGATCGCACTGACCGGGGGGGGAGGAGGGGGAGGTTTCCCTTGCGGCTGATTGCTCCGGCCCGGAAATGCCAGCAGCACAAAATCGGTCACAGGAAGACCCGCCCCCCCCGGTTGCTGACTGGCTGCTGGGGCAGCTGCTTCCCCAGGGCCCTATGCCGTGTGCCTGCAGTTCCACACTTGCAGAGAGGAAGCCCCATGCTAGACTCAGCAGGGAAGTGGGGGCTGGGCTCCCTCCACACTAAGCAGAGCATGGGGACCTGTGCAGCTGGGAGTCAGGGAGCTGAAGCTGCAGGTGTGGGGAGCAGAGCCCTGGTGATAAGGCAAGCTCTGCTCCCTCCCCCCACGCAGCACTGGTTGGAGCCATGGCTGTGTTGGGCACGAGCATCCTGACCTCCCCACCTGCTGCTGCTGCCAGGCAGTGGGGGCTGCACACCATGGGGGAAGTGTGTGTGGGTCCCTACAAATTTAGAGAACCTCTTCCTTTACCTTTAAAATATTTAAATTCCTAAATCAAACTACAAACCTTTCACAAAAGAACAACCTGAAATCTCATGGATGACATTAGTAACCCAGACCACACTTTACGGTAATGTCTCCTGGTGGAGTACAGGTTACTGCTGGTCTAATTAAGACTTCAGTTTTAAACTCCTTAGCCCTAACCCTCTGCATACAAACCTGCGCTTCAGTTAAGTTTCATATAATAATTTTTTAATACAGTACTGGGGCTTCTGTACAGAAAAAAGCTGCTGCTAAATCTCCATGGCAGGTTTTTATCTACTTCCAGCTTTATTGCATTTAACCACCCAACCACTTTGATCTGGCAGAGAAAACATATATAAAGCCAGCCTGATAAGGGTGTCTTTTATTTCATAAAGATTATATTGTAGCCTCCTATTTAAAATAAAGCCCTGGGACAGCTGTGAGAGATAAGCGTAGAGACTGTTTCCATAGGGACCCCTATAAGAAAAGATAGCAAAAGGCCAACCCACATCTAACAAAAATGAATCTGAATACAAGTCAAGATCAGCTGCTTATGAACTAGATCAATTACAAGAACAACCAGCCATGTAAAAATTCTGTTACAGATCCGACATGTTTTCATGACACAACCAGTTTCCTCTGGAAAAATTGTAGATGCTCTGTAGAGACTGTCTCAGGTTTGGACATTTCATTTAATAACTATCCAATCTACAACAGATTAGATACCAAAACCTTTATGCAAGCGGAACAGTGCCTTACTCTGTGAATAGTCTCACTAAATAACAGTTTATATATCCATGAGCAGAAGAACTGAACAAAGAGAATGTTATTAAAGCTGAAATTGGGCATTCAAAAAAACCCACCAAAAAACAAAAAACAAAAACCCGGATACACTAGAATTAAGGTTGCCTTAATGAAACTCTGTGTATTGTAATGCACATGTAAAAGGGGAAGCTACAGTTTTTAACAGCATGATCATACACTTACACTGCATGTCCACAACACTCCACCTCATTCAATGCACAGGTTAAACAGTGCTCACTTAATTAACAATTGACAGCATTTATTTCTCTCTTCACTCACAATTCTTCTTTTCAACACTGTGCCTTACCCTTGAGCAATGTCATTCCCTAATTAAGTTCAACTACCATCTCTAACAGATCGACATCTCTGGACCTGTCTCCTGTCCAAACTAGTCTTTGGAAATCTTTGTAACATCTTCTCACAGATATCAGCTCAAGATCGAAGTGGCTACAAGAGTTCGTAATCTTCTGTCTTGCATCCCTTTACGTGGATAAATGCGGACAATGTCATTGTCATCCCGTCATTCAGACCTGTAACCAGGTGTCATCTTTGACTCAAAAAGTCCTCACATCAAGGTAATATGTCTTAGATATTATATAAAAACCACAGACTATATATTTCCTATCCACCTATGCATCCAAAGCAGGGACCATCTATGAAAATCAGATTTTACATTACTTGCTGAACACTGCAGAAGATTGTGGCAGATGCAGGCATAGACTTGAATTCTTCTGAGCAGCATTCAGCAGCTTTAAACAGGAAGACAGCTTATTCCCTTCCTGGAACCCCAAGTCCCATTCACTCCATATCTTTCAATATCTGCAGTGAAGGAACCAGAGAACCTATAGACAACTGCCTCCTTCAGCACACATCCCTGAATCAAGTCTGGTGCAGGGTGGAAAATATATTCTGTGATTATTTAATTCAAGATTATATCATAAAATTGAGCCAAATTAGTTGGACCTCGCTTGCCCAGGCAAGCTTATTAAATGTCCTAAAGTTTGCGTACTTACTTTTGTGACCTTAATAATGTCCTTGGTACATAATGTTTGCTACTTTCTTAGTTAAGGAAAAGAAAACGCCCTGAAAAACATAAATCCCTTCTTGTCTCAACATGATGGCACCCCCACGATTCATGAGCAGGGCTAGGACCTGCAAACCCACCACACAAATGTCTGTCATTTCAGCTGCTGGAGTAACTGCTAGGAATAGTGAGTGGTCACCCTCTGTGGATTAGCACCGTAGGGGTCCGAGACAAAAATTGGAATGGACCACCTCTGCCTCCCTCCAGCTGTGCCTCTGCCAGCAGAGGTACAGAGAGACTTGGAAATTGTAGTTTCAGATGCTGGAGAAGCACATGGTCTAGTAGGCACAGTCCATTTACTCATTCTTGCCTCCACCAGCTTGACCACTTGTACTCTATGCCCTCTGAATCAAGGCCCTTCTGCTTTCAGTCCAGTCTTCCTCCCCATCCTACTCCCTGTCTTTGCTCAGCAAGCCGTGGCCTTCCCCTATCTAAACTCTGAATCTAAGTTTCTCTCTCCCTCTGCAGGATTACAGTTCTAGGTGCATATCTCCGCTCAATCTCCTTGTCTCAAAACACTACAGCTCCTTCCCTCAATTCCACATATGTAGATCCTGTTTTTATCTCCTCCTCATTCTAATCAGGCAGCTTTCTCCTCCTTGTCATTTTGGCACAGATGTGTGGAAGGGGGGTGGCACTATAGGCTCATTACAGATGTTAAAAAACCCCCAAAACCCAGTCTTTACTGGAAGAAGCAGTGCATTAGCTCTACCCGGCTCCCCAGCACCTGTATAGATCGGGCACTTCAGCAGGGCTTTTTTGGCATTTTTATCTAATAGCTGATTCAATCAGCTATTAGATAAAAGCACCAAAAAAGTCCCACTGCAGCGCCTGATCTATACAGATGTTGGGCAAGCCAGGTCCAACTAATATGATGTTTCTTTTGGACATGTGCTGGGCCCAGCATGGGAGTGCCTGAGTTTAAAGAAAAGCACTTTTTAAAAAAAACTTCTGTAAGCAGCCACAACGTAGAGTGAGTTGTCTTGCCTTCAGTTTTGGTATGCAACTCCAGCTTGGCCTGTAACAGTCAAAAGTTCCAAGTGTAGGGAAAGTCCTGCCCAACTCCAGGCTGTCTGCTTGGAGTTTTACCTGTGAAGCTTTAGCAAGTCTCTACTGCAAAATGTGATTACTCTCCCTGGCTTTAAAATTTGGCCAGACACAGAAAGAAAAAAAAAAAGCGTTGACAACCTAGTGCATTAGATATGCCTTCTTTAAAATAAAAATCTTATTCTGAATAATGCTACAATTTAATTTCAGATTTAATTTTAAAATCTAGGCTGAGATTTTAGAAGCTACCCAAGGGAACTGAAAGCCGAACCCTTTGATAGGTCCTTGCTATTAGGGCAAACTCTGCTGCCAGTTATACCTGTGAATGGTGTAAATGAGGGCAAAATAGGGACCACTCTTCTATATTAAGTTAGTGGTTCCTGGCCATTAATATTGCATGTGTAACAGGATTTTTGTGCGTGATGCCCATATCTCAATGATGAATCTCTGCCAGCTTCGAAGGTGTATTTATTACCTGTCTGCCATTTACTGGGTCATGTTTCAGCTTGCAATGGAGGCAGGCTCACTCCAAACCAAAATCTCATAAGAGCAGAAAACTCTACTTAAGCTGATATGCTATAGTCAACTAGGCTAAAAGATTAAGTAACCAATCCATCTCTCTTGTCCAGCTACGCCTATGGCAAACCTTGGATCAGGAGCTGCATATAGCTCCTAGGCTGTTTAAAATGCAGGTCATGAAGAAAAGCTGTTAAATACTACAAAGAGAACATTTTTATTTATTTTCTATGTTTGGTTTTCTTTAGTTCATGCTTATTAAGTAGTCACTTAGGGCATTTTTACATGTGCCCTGGAATGCAGTGCCAGGAGCTTTAATTAGCAAGCCATACTAATTAAAAGCACCTGCACGTCATGTGCATCAGTATCCCCATGCTGAAAAAATGGTGGCGGGGTGCTTTGAACTAAACCTCATTGAACCTGTTTTATTTCAGAGTGCCCTGCTGCCATTTTTTCAGCACAGGGACACTGATATACGACACAAAAACCTGCTGGAGCACATCAATTTCTGTGCTCTGACACACTGGATTTCCAGACCATTGAACCAGGCTCCCCATACATCTATAGGAGCCCTTAATGACAAAACTTTTATTTGTGCTGCGGTGCTATGCACAGATCACTGATGCTGATGCATGTGCATCTCAGAAGTTTTGTGCCCTGCAGATACTAGCTGTGTAAAGCTATTTTCTAGCTGGCTAGAAGAGTGATTCCCAAAGGGTGTGCCATGGTGGTAGCAGTGTGCTGTGAAAAATGGGCTGGATGGGGTCCTGGCTGGGCCAACTCAGCAAAGTGAGATGGGGCCTGTGGACTGGATCCTTGGACCAATGAGTGGTATGTCACCAATTTTAGATTTGGAAATAAAGTGTGCCCCAGGTATCAAAAGATTGGGAAACACTGAGATGGAAGTGTTAGGATGTTTGGCCTCTTCTGCCTGAGTGTAGTGGTTGCTCAGAAATGCATAAAATGTGGTAGTCTGTTATGAAATTTGTACCTCATTGAGAACAGTCTTTTAGATTACTGCGCTTCATGACCTAGTTTCATCTGAACATTATGCAGTCAGTATCCCCAGTAATTAACAGGCTAATCACATTTCCACAACTGGTTTGCCATGACATTTCACTGTTTTTCTTGCATTATAGATCAATGTTTATTAGATTGTGCATGCATTTTCTAGGCAAGATTTCTGAAATGCTGCAGATGTTTTAAAACAAAATCAATCAAGCATTCTGATCAGTTTTCAATTTCATGTCTTTTGTCTCTAAATTGCAACATGTTGAAAAAAGGCAAACAGGGTTGCAGTAGAGCACTAATTGACATGGAAAAGTATATTCTTATCAGAGGGCAAGAAAATCACACTGAGTTCTCATTACTTTGTTACCACCAAATGCATCAGGGTGTTAAGAGAGAACTCTGCTGAAAATGCAAAAGAATTCCCAACTAGCAAGATTTCAGCCGAGACTTAGTGACAGGAACTGTGAGCCCTTTCCAAAATAATCATTATAAAGTGTAAAGAGTATCTGTAACATGAGTCAAAATAAACAAAAGAAACAGGAAGAAACAGCAAAACTCATTTATTCTAAATGGTATTACATAGGGGTAGTTTAGCTAAATTTACTTAATTAGCTTTTAAAAATTTAACCAAGAGAATGCAAAGAGATCCAAAAGCAAGAAATAATTTAGTGATCCTTTGATATGGAGCAACAGGATCTCAGGCTAAATTTGGGTCTCAGAGTTGGCCCCTGGAGTTGTTCTGATTTCATTTTGAGGTGAGAGCTGAAAATATCCTCAAAAGTTTAAAATTAAAATCAAAATGTTCTTCATTAGTACAATACTGCCTGATTAACTACAAGGACTTCAAAACAGCACATTAGAGTCTTGGTCCTTATATAACGGAATACCCTGCAAATTGCTTTGTATGTTCCAACTTGACCCTAAAACGATTAGGCTATTTAACAATAGCCAGACATCTAGAACCCTTACTACTTTCACAAGAACTCTACACCTTCTTGACTGACTTACTTTGATCATAAGACTGTGTGGTCAGATTCCATTCCCAAAAGACATGCAAATTTTCCTCAACGCTGATGACAGTGTAAAAGTAGTATTTTACTTTAGGGGTCACATTAAAAGTGAATACCATAACATAATATAGGAAATATTTTTGCCTTCATTCAGTAACAGACACTCGGCCACGTTCCTGAATTAAAAATCTAAGTTAAAGTAATACTAAGGCAGGAGGGTAATGAAGCCAAAATATACTGGCTTGACTATATTTGGTTAAATCCTGGCAAGGAAAGACTACACTTCTGGGAACCCAACATTTTTGCTGTGCATTCTGTTTAATAACTACAGATTCCAGAGCATAGAAATGGGCAATCAGATGCATCAAGTTTTACTTTGTGTCTTGAGTGCAATACAGGATCATGAACATGGTGCATTCATTAATATGATTTATTTTTATACCCAGGGATAAAATATGATAATATGAAAGGATTTTCTCTTTCCTTTTTTGTACTTCAACTTTAAAACCTTCACTGGCCCATGAGCGATACTATCGGGCAAACACCACCCTTTGCTGTCAACCTCAATTTTCATTTTTACTGGTTGGCAGCAATGTTAAAAGGTACAGTGGACAGCATATATCCTGCAAACTACAGATTAGAGACCATTGGTTTAGAAAGTTCTGGACTACCTAATATTCTGTGATTACCCTCTGCTTTTCTCATCAAAATTCATCAGTGGTATAATAAGAACTGCTACAAAATTACAAACTTCTTCAGGATATGGTTTTAATTCTCTGAAGGCTGCTGACATTGCACATATGGAATCATAGGAGCTGTTATTTGGATAGTAATGTGGAACCTCCTCAGTGAAGGGAAAGGTAAAAAAAAAATTGGATTTACTCATATCTAGCTAAAAGATATGAAAGATAAAGTGGGGAGGGTTAAGGTTTGTTTGGTGGAGGTCCTTGCCAGGTTGGGGAATCTTACATTGGAGGATGGAACTGTATTCAGTGTAGCAGCACAGAGAACACCCTATTTTACAACAGGGAAACCTTAATGCTTCATTCATATTGATGATTAGTTACTGGCATGAGCTATCCCACTGATGTCAAAAATATTACTTGTGTAGTAACTGTAAGAGAGTAACTACTTGGCTTGGCTAACTAAGTTCAAAGAAAATAATTTCTGTGAAGGAACCCAGGCTGCAGCTCTGTTAAAATAGTTTTAGTCAGTGTGGTTCTGATTCTACTATGTCTTAATAATTCCTGAAGAAGTAGCAAAAGTAAACAGAACAAGCAAAATTCATATGGCCACAGAGATGGTCTACTAGTAGTTCTTGTGAAGTTTTTGTTACCGTTCCCAAACATGTTTTAGTTGATTTTATAAACATAAATATCTACTGCCCAAGCTAGATAATAAAAAAGTGTCAAATGAATGGTTAACTAACACAATTCAGATGAGGTTGCTCATAGCTCCATGTTAAAGTACTCTATTTTGAAACATAAACTATTTTTTCACCTACCTGCATAAGGCCTCAATAGCATCTCTATCGAGAAAGTCATGCTCTCGCTTGACTAAAGTGATGTCAATGGGGAACAGGAGATCTGTAGGAATTGAGACAGATGAGCAATCAAAAATGTTATCATCAAAGGTAAATCATTTCAAAACAATCAGCTTTCTAGCTCACTTCAATGCAAGCAACCATCTCCTCCAAGATAAACTGCGCATCTTGCAAATCTCAAATGTCTTGAAAGATGCTTGCTTCTCAAGCAGAAACTTTTGACATGTAACTTTGATAACTGATAAAGTTCATGTGTCATGGAAAGAAAAATCTGAGCGAGGCAAAGATGAAACAACATGAGAGAGAGTGTGTGCACGTGCATACAAGCTGAATGCAAGCCACGTGCTTGACAGAAGCTGAGCCTGATTCAGTTAGTCTCTTTTAAAACAAATGTTAGTGCTTTGATGGAGCTTATGCATCTCGCATCAAAGCAAAAGGTCAGCAAAACCAAAATCTTTGGAAACCATGAAAAACAAAATCCCTTTGGCTGTTAATCAAGCTATTTAGCACTCTGACACTTGTACATTAGCGATATGAACTAAAATGAAAAAAAAGACTAGTTGCTGGGAGCCTTATGCTGTCTCCATTCCCGAAAAGATTATTTAGATAAATACTCAGGGAGAGCAAGTAGGAGGAACCAATCTTGGCTGAGTTCTGATAATTTACTACAGCTCTGAAATGGCAGCCAAATTCATATTATTTACTGTCCTCAACAGATTCCTGAATGTCACATAGGTCCTGATCCTGCATTCCTTGCTCAGCTCAAACTTGGTGCCGAAGATCCTGGGAGTTTGGGATGTATAAACAATACAGAAGGCTCTGAATTTACTGTAGGAACAGCACAGGTCCTTTTTTTTCTGGCCATGGAGTATTTGTGTAATAAGGAACAGCAATTCACTGTAAAGATTTTAAATCTCTAAAGATAAGGAAAGAGGGAATTAAAAGTGCTACAATCAACAGGACCAATCGAATACTGCTAACTGCAGACCAAGCAGATTATATTACCTTTTATCTATCACATTAATTACTCACTTCACTTCTGCTTCAGGAACAAAACACAGCTAATACCATTTTATGAGAACTGCAAGCAATACTGGCTTTTCTGCAGAAAAATCCAAGTAATTCCCAAAAGCCAAGGGTGTGATCTAAATTCCACTGAAATCAATGGTGCTGCTAATGGGGACTAAGTTGGAACCATAATATATGTGATGTCCCATAACAGTTATGGTGTCTTCCGTAGTTTTAGCCACATTCAGGATGATCATAGGGCCAAAATAAATGCACAGAATATTAGAAAATTCTGCTGGTGTGTTCATCAGTAGCTCCATCTCCCCTGAGAGGGAATCTCTTTAGACCGTCCACTTGAAAAAAGCCTACTTCAGACTATTTAACACTTCATGAGGTGACTCGGCAGTAGTGCATGGTATAAAGGATTCTTATCTCAGTGATATCAACAGAGCCACTGGCAGAGCAACTTAAAAAGGACAGCAATATATTGGTTTAATATAGGACAGCTATTTTTTTCAGCGGATTAGACAAAATTGTGCTTTCGCTTGGGCAGTCCTATTGAAGTCAAATAGGACTCAGAAGCTTCAGAAAACCTTATTTTCTCTGTAGGGAAAACAACTGCAAACAGACTCTGAAAATCACAAGCAAGGATTTTTTTCTGAGTGCAGACAATTTCCTAGAGATTTTATGCATCAGTAAAGCATAAAGCCCCAAAGCACTCAAGTGCCTAAGAATCAACACTTTTCCAAGTGTACAACTGCGCCCATGGGATTTTGACAACAAATGGTACTATGGTCCCCAATCCACCTCCCCCTTCCCCAAGAAAGTGTGTTCTTGGCTCAGTTGTCAGTACTGAGTAAGAGACATAATAAAAGGAAATTTAATTTCTAAACAGGCACACAAAAGAATTGCCAAGTGCTGCCTTTGCAAGAGCTATTATCTTCTCACATTGCCAATGCAGCTGCAAATTAAAGCCCAAGTAGATCATTTTTCAAGGTTATGCATAGCACTGGCTGCAATCTCCAACAATTATTCACTGTAAATAATGGACTGCCTATGTGCAGCATTAAAACTAACAGCTGGGGTTTTTGTTTTATGAAGAGGAAATCGTAGGTATGACAGCACTTCATAACTTCACTATAATGCAAGTCACTTTTATGAACCAAAAAACCCAAACAACACAAAGGACATTACTGCATCACTGTTTAAAAAACAAGACTTTTGTCTATTCATCAAAATCAGCCTCATTAGATTAAAAATATGAGGACAAATCGGCAATGAAATCAACAGAGTTTTGCTGGAATATGGACTTTGTAAAAACTGAAACACAGAATAATCTCTCTCACTAAAACACTGACATTGGGAACCTTGGGCATTAAAGGCCTCCTATGCTAGGAGTTCTCTTCAAATTACTTCATATGTGTGTGGAAGACTGAGGCATTCTCACTCTCAGACCTGCACAATGAGTACAGGTTTAAGTCTGCCTCAATCCTGGGAAGCAAGGGCTATCCACATGTGCACAGGTCCTTGCTCACTGACACAGGGGTTCCCTATACCTCCTCTGCTTCCTGTGGCTCCACTAGAAAGCCTCTCCTAAAGAAGTGGGCAGAGGAACTGCACTGGCAGTGGTAGGCTGGGCCCTGGTGCAACCTCCATAGAGGTGGGTAATAGAAGTTGATGGATCTACAGTCATACTTGGCTCTTAAAAGCTTCCCACCCATGAAGGGCAGGCATAGAAACATCTCCTGGTCTTGAGTGTATCTTCTGTGAAACACAAGAAATGTTGCTGACATATGAAAATGCAATTTATCTTCTAAGTGATGCTTAATTTGTCTAGGATCATTCACTAGTCCTCACAGTATCCTTTGAGACAGGATTGACATGTGTCACTAAACCAGAGACAATGGACATGTCACTAAACCAACATCAGATCTAGGACAAGGAATCAGTGTTTCCGGTTCTCGGTCTGCTGCCAGTTTGCTAATTCCTAACTGCATTAGAGAAAATTGTATACCTTCCTATAACTTTTTTTGGCATATGGATGCTATGAGATGACAAATAGGAATGTTATTAACATAAAGCTGAAGCCTTGAAAAAAACTGGGAGCTCCTGCACTGCCCCAAGAGTTATGATTGGCAACAATTTAAAAATCACCATGGTATTTGAGCATCTTTGTAGGTTTGGGTGTACATTAATCAACTTGTATGTATGCATGCATATGTAATGGGTCATAGAAACCATCCAGACCCTAAAAATTGTGAAAACATTTCATCATGCTGGAGTTCAAAGGTTAATATTGCTTCTGAGAAATGCTTGTACTGCCTAAATAATAAAACTCAGGTAAATAAATAAGCAAATCAATCATTCAGTCATTCAATGGCAGAAAAGTTAGCTTCTGCAAATGTGCCACGTACCTTCATAAAGCTGAGCATACTGTGGGAATCCTGCTGCCCGCAGCCAATCACACGCTTCCTTGGCCTCTATTTCTGTAAGAGAAGAGAAGCAAAGCACCCTCCGATCAGTGAGTTGCAAAGAAAAAGGTTCTTTTGTACCTTTTCTTCCATTCTGGTTACAAAACAGGCATGCAAATATGCAGCAATATACCTGATGAACAGGGATCAGGGTTTCTGTTTCCCATGGAAAAACAACCCCCCCCACACCCCCCCTGTGGATTTTCCCTTTTACCTCAGAAAAGGGCGGATGTTTCATTTTAACAGAAAAATATGCAGATTTTGCTCTTCTGCAAAGAGCTATCTGTAGGCTGGCAGAGTTTCAGCCTGCAAGGGGCTAGGCGGAGTGGGAAGGGGGCGGTCAGGCAGGGTGCATGTATATGCACATGGCCACCAGGCAGCCTGGAGAGCAGCTCCTCCAGGTAAGTGAGAAGGGGGGGAAACTGAAGTCCCCATAGGGAGGGAGGGAGTTGGGCAGGGCAGGGCAGGGCTGGGGCCACCATCCTGCTAGGCAGTGCATGGGGCTTGGGGCCACTGCAGGGCCCCAGAGAGGAGCAGGACGGGGATGTGTGTGGCTTGTCTGGGAGGTGGGGCTGGCTCCCTAATGCTACATGTGCTCCTGAGGAGACGTGGGGGGAATGTGCCCCCCAGATCTGTGTGGGCCGGGTGCTGGCTGCCTGCTGAGGGCTTGGGCTCTGCACTCTGCTGCCTTCCCCCAGGGTCTCGACAGCCCGGCAGGTGGGATCCAGTGCAGGGTGGAGCAGGCCGGGCAGGGAAGCTCGTTGCAGCTGCTGAGAGCCCTGCCCTGCCCTGGCAAAGTGCCCCCTGCCCACCCTGAAGCAGCGAGGGGCACAACTCCGTGCCGGTGCCCCCACTTCTCCAAGGTGGGCAGCGGGCACGTTGCCAGCACAGTGGCTGCAATGAGCTTCCCCACCCGGCCCCACTCTGCCCTGCCACGTTGGGTCCTGTCTGCCAGGCTGAGGCCCTGGGGAGGGCAGCAAGGCAGGGAGCCTAAACCCCCAGTGGCCAGCCCAACCCAGCCCTGTGCCCTCCAGATCTGGAGGGCACGTGTCCCTGGGAGTGTGTGCAGAGGTGGGGTGCCAGCCCCTCTCTCCTGCCTGAGCCCACAACAGGCAGCCCACCACGGGCTCTGCTCCGGCCTTGCTGCCCGTGGGGGAGGGAGAGCCAGGCTCCACACTCGGGCCGCAGCAGCAATCACCTGCTGTGGGTGGCCGCCAGGGTCTATGCAGTGCTGTGGAGGGCATAGGGCTGTGGACCTGGGTGCCTGGCCCTGTAGCCCTGGTAGCTGGTGGCCCCCTCCAGCAGGGCTGTGGGGGCACGGGGATGTGGGTAGGGAGTGAGGGGCACCAGCAGTGCCCAGGGGGCTGTGGGTGGGCAGTAAGAGGCCTGAACCTGCATCCTGGTGAGCTAAGGGGGTAAGGGGAGCTCTGTTTTTCCATGATAAAAAACCCAAAATCAAATACCAAAATTTATAGGTACTTAGAATTTATTTTACTGCAATGATTGAGGCAGTGGTAGACTTCCAATTTGCTTTAAAACAGTATATAAATCAATAAAACATTGTGCTCAATTGATACATACAGTGCTGTTTTATTTTAATCATGGATTTTGGGGTTTTTAAATCAGAGAATTTGTGATTTTTTTTTAATCAGGGAAAACCAGAAGCCCTGCTGATGAAATAGCAAGCTCTTATTTTCTAGGTTTTGTTGTTTCAAGTTTGATTTGTTTTTTCTTTTGTGACCCATACATTATTGATACTGGAACTTCAGTAATGCTCATCTCAGTTACAAAATGCTCAGTGTTACAATATTATAAATGTACATGACAGCTGCTGCTATAATAGACTAGTCTACCCGGAGAAACTGGTGCTGCAATTGAAGCAAACAGTATTCTTTCAATAAATCATGTAATCTCTTGGCACAACTGTTTTCTCTTGACAGAGCTACCTAATAAAGCTTGTAATACCCTGTGCTTTAACATGTAGATAGTACTGATAGACACCAAGGCTATGAACAACTGAAACATTGTGTTACAGCTCACTCAAGCATGTATTTACTACCTAGTCAGAAGCAAGCAGCACTGGAGGTCCACAGGGCACCTACAAATTACGTGGCTTACGTATGCAGTATTTTCTCCAAATAATTTTTGCTTACCCACCACTGGCAAAATTAAAGAATTCCCAATCATGCACACGGCACTTGGGAGAAAAGAAATGTATCCATTGATTACACACCATTTTCTTGGAAATATAATATTATCTAATTAGTTTGTGTTTTTACGCTATAAGAAATGCAGAAATTGATATTTCATTAGGTCACAAACCAAAACATAATGATTATTAAGTGCAGCTCTAGAAGAGCAGTTATGGTGTAAACCAAAACTGTATTGAGCTAGATTTTAATTTCAATGGGCAGCAGCTATATTATATATCACTTTGAGAAGAAAATAAAGTTGTGAAAATAGTTAAGCATTCTGCTTATATTTGATCTAGAAGTAATAGTTTGTTCCAAAAACTAAAGAGATAGTATTGATAGCACACATATATGTTCATAACAAACTGTTGCAGCTTCCTGGCAAAACAGCCAAAGAAGCAGAAACCAAATCTGGTTATTCACATTAAACAAACTTAAAATGTAGCATAGTGGCCATTTATTGTGGCATTTTTTCTTGTCATTGGTCCATTTTTACCAAGGGATTCACCTCATACTGATTAAATTAGGCAAGTGGAAAAAAAACGTTAAAAGTCACTTGCTTTGATGTTGAAGATAACATACAAAGATAAGTTATTTGCCTTTTTAAAGCTCTGCTTGTGAGTATTGCAGATCCAGGGACATAAAGAACAGTATTGCCCTTGCTTTAGCTTTTAATAATGCTAGTTAATACAGAAGTAAGAATTAGAAGCTTACTTACAAAAGGAAAATAACTTTCTTATTCCTGCAGTTGTGCAGTGCTCAACAGCTCTGTTAATACATATAATGTGCTAGCTCTTTAACTTTTTACTTGATCAAACAGGTGGTGAGCAGATCAGAAATTCTTAATGTTTATCCAGCCTCAACTACATTCAGTGTTCTTGATGGACCAGAACAAAAAGGCTTAATTAAATACAACCAATTAGACAATGTTGCCACCTACTTTGAACCTGTACCATTCCCATTTATTTCACTGAGCACATGCCTTAAGTTTAATACAAAATACTGCATATAGGACTGCTACCAGTGGATTTAAAACAATGCCACATTTAATAGGGTATATCTTGTAACTGTGGCACACTTTATAGACAACATCGCCACAAACACATGCACACCACAAACTCAAATGTCATGGTACCCAAAATGCCAAATGATTTCATATATGATGAGCTTCCAGAGTTACTGCAGGGTTAAAAAAAAAAAAAAAAAAAGTTTTTTTTTTG